GAGCTTTTGACTCAGAAGTTCTGTCCGCGCAGAGCCCTGTTCCTCGCTAAAACCCCCTTGTAAGTGAGTTATGCTTACCCTGCTTTAAGTATAACTTATGTTTAAGTTCATTATCGTTATTATGAATCTATAAACAATATATGAGCTAAGTATAATTGAGAGTAGCCCTAAATGAATAGTAGCCCTAAATGTGGAATAATTTAGCAAGGCGTTGGTTTGGGGGTTAAAAAGTCATAATTGAGAGTTTGGGGGTTAAAATGTAATTTCTGGATTTATTTGTAAAGAATTTTGAAGGTTGATGGCTATTTAGTAAATTATGGGTTTAATTTGAAAGGAATTTTGAAGGCATGGGCTGCATGGTAATTATTAGGACCTAAACTGAAAGGACTTTGGAGTAATGGGGGCTAAAGGGTAATTGTTGGATTTAATTTGAAAATTTTTGGTGGAGGAGGGGCTGATCTAGAAAAAAATGAAAAACGTTTGAAAGGATCACGGGTTTAGACCCGGACCCCCTCCTTTCTCGCTTCAAGATGTATCATCGGATACCTTCAAACCCTAAACCTAATACATCACAGCCGCCACCATCTTGGAGTGTTTCCAGCTGCCACCACCCTATCCTCTTGCTTTCCGATCAACCAAGGTGACCGGCGAACCACTGCTGCCGGTGAAATCATACGTTGATGCTACGCCGCTGCCAACGAAGGCAATTTTCGTGAGTTGACATCGTGTTTTTCGGAGCAGAAGAAGCTGAAAGAAGAACCACGACGACCGCAGAACCTCGATAAGAATGCTCGCCATCCACTTTCTTTCTCCTTCCTCGTTTCTGGTGGTAGGACGTCGTGGGGCGTCGCTGCTGCTGCCGATGACCTTTTGGCCACCGTTACTGTCTATTCCGGTGGCGACAGCCACTGAGAGGTGGCTGAATATGAGCTTATTCGAGTATTTTCGTTGCTTTCGGTATCTGTGGTGTTATATGCGAGTTATTTGGCCGGAAAAACCCACCGCCACCGCCACCACCACGAGGTGGTGGCTGCCACCGTTTTCTGCCGCCACCAGCCACCATGAGGAGTGGTTGTGTGTGTGTGTGTGTTTGTGTTTGTATGTATGAGAGTGTACTATATGGGTGTGAAGTTTTTTTTTGCATTTTTTTGGCCGGAACACCCACCACCACCACCGTGAGGTGGTGGCTACCACCTCCTGCCGCCACCAGCCGCCGTGTTGGGTAGCGGTGTGCTTTGTTTGTGTTTATATTTTGTTTGGGATGCTTGGACAAAAATGGACTAGAACCATAACCACCACCACGGGGTGGTGACCGCCGCCGTGAGCCGCCGTTAACCACCACTACCCGAGGTGGTAGTGGGTGGTGCCCGACTTATGAAACCCTAGTGGGCCTTATGAAACCCTGGTGGTCCTAATGAAACCCTAATGGGTCTAAATACTTAGCTTTTGGGCCTATTGGGTTATGATTGGGTTGGAAACCCTAATTAGGGTTTAGAAAACCCTAATTTTGGATATATGCGTTATGGGTTGTCGGGACTCGCATTTTGGATGACCGGATTGGGATTATGTATTAATCCCGGACACACTATATGATTGACCTAGTAGATTGATGGACTTAATGGATTAAGTCCTTAATGGGTTAAGTGAGAAACACTTAACCCTAATCGTCATTTTATGTGAAAACCCTAATCTTACTTGGGCCTTTCTATTGGGCTTTGGTGATTGGACTAATAATGGGCCATCCAAGAACAATCATATGGACTAGAATAATTGGATGGGCTTTAGGGTAAGGCCCATGTGAGGGTTTGGGCCCAATTTAGAAAATTGGGTCATAGGTGGGCCATAATTGGGCCTTTATGATTATGAGATATTGGGCCATTAGAATACTAAATGTTTAGACTAGAATAAATGGTTGGGCCTTAGGGTAAGACCAAGCAAAGGGTTGGGCCCAATTTGGAAAATTGGGCCATATGTTGGGCTTTGATTCATAGTTTGACGTTTGGGCCTTTGGATTGGGCCTTGAGTTGAATCAAGCTAAGATAGGGGTAAAGTAGTCTTTTACCCCAAGTATGGACTTATGGATATATGTTGGAACCCAATTATTAATTGGGTGTTGTTTTGATGATTGACAATTTGGGGATCTGTCAGCCAGCAGCCAGGGATTTATTTGCGGGACTTCAGCAGTGCGAGGTGAGTCTCCTTACTGATTGTAGTCTAAGGCATCAATGTCGGCCCATTTAGTTTATGTATGAAAGACCAGGAGGTGGCTCCTGGCACACTGTATGCTAATTAGCTAAGTAGAATAGTATGTATGCTAGTTGTCTTTGTGATGCTTGCTTGGAAGACCAGGAGGTGGCTCTTGGCACTTGTATGTAAGACCGAAGGAGGTGGCCCACGACTTGGCAAGAAAGATCACGTGGCAGCCTGTGGCATAATGGCAAGACTATGTTTTGGCACATAGCATTTTATTTGATTATGATATATGATTGTTTTGTATGGCTCACGGTTATGTATGGTAGTATTGGGTTGAAAGAGACCGAAGGGGTAGGCCAGCACCCAGATATGCTAGGCAGCATGTTGATATGTATGGTATGTGGTATTCATGGAACTCACTAAGCTTCATGCTTACGGTTTTCAGTTTTGGTTTCAGGTACTTTGTTTTCAAAGGAAAGGAGTCAGCGATCGCAGCGCATCACACTATGTTTTTCCGCACATGAGATCTTTGGGATTATACTCTGATATTATTTTAGGATAACATGTTTTTGATTATTGACACTTGGGTTTTGACATGGGATGTTATTATGGATGTTTTCTTATACTGTTGGTTTTATAATAACTTAATTAAAATGAAATTTTTGGTCTTGAATTTTGGGATGTTACATTATGTGTATATATTATCTGTGTTCTTAATATCTATGTTGGATGAGCAAAAACATACATGTTTTATTCGATTTAAACTGTATACGTATTTTATACCAATAATTATGATGGGTAAAGATGGGTATATGAAAGATGAGATGAATGATGAGAGATGAAAGATGATATAGATGATGAGAAGCCTTGACCCAAGCGATGACCCAATCATCTAGCAGAGTATAAATGACAACCACAAACTATTCTAGACAATCCAGTGGAACACTAGCAGACTCGCAACCTGTAGGTGTTGTGAACGATTTGTTCACCAGATGTACTCTAAAAACCCTGACAGCTATGGACTTAGTGCCTCATAAACGAACATTGACAGCTATGGACTTAGTGCCTTACAAATGAACGTTGGTAGCTATGGATTTAGTACCCTACAGATGAACATTGACATTTATGGACTTAGTGCATAATAGATAACATCGACGACTATGGACTTAGTGCCCGTTAGATAAACCCTGGCAGCGATGGACTTCGTGCATATTCCTTAGGACGATCCCTAGGAATAAATGAAGGAAGAATAGCTGATTCTTAGGGTAGATCCTTAAGAATAAAGAAGATAATGGGGATGTGAAATTGGGTTAATTGTTTGATGATTAAACATAATAATTATATTATTGTGGGTTGAAAACTCTATATACCCACCAGGTTTCCCAACCTGACTCACTCAGTTTATTTGTATCACAGGTGTCGATACGAAGCTACATTACACTGAGAGATTAAAGAAGATGTAAATCACTAGTATAAATGAATATAAGGTCTTTTATGCTTATGTTTCTGTATTGACGATGACATCCCAACGTTTTGATATAAACAAAATACATTTATTTGGAAATGCTTTGATAATATATTTATCATGTTTTCTGGGAACAAATTCCGCAATATTATTCTTTAAAAATGAATATGCTGATTTTCAAATAAACATAAATAAAATTTTTTTAAATGATCGTGAGTTTGGGGATGTCACAAATCACTACTATGGATGTGAGGTCGCTGGATTCAACAAACAACGAATACAATTTTGTATGTTCAAATAAAAGCAATTGATTTTACTGCATTGTCAATGGAAATAATTAAAATGGATAAGACTTTGTTAAAAATGACGAACATTTAATCTAAGTATTGGACTTGTTTGCTTTTATGGCTGATTTTTTTGTATCACACATTTAATTCAATGTCAAAAAAACACAACCTAAACTTATCTATCGACAACGAAATCTTAGAGAGTATAGACTACAAAAAGTTTATCAACCAATTTGCTATCAATAATGCTAAGAGAGCTTCACGGGTCGTCGGTTAGTTGTTACCAGTTTTCTAAAAGGTGCGTCATGACGCGCGCCAAGGCGTGCAATGGCGTGAGTCGTGGCTTCACCGTTACGAAAAGCCTCATAACATTGTTGTTAGGCGTGACGCGTGTCAAGGTGTGATATGGCGTGCTATGGTGCGTTATGGCATGTTATGGCGCGTGTTTTTTCGTTTGAGACACGTTTTTTTTGCTTTTTTTTATGTCTTTTCTAATCGGGGATACAAATATTGTGTTTTTTTTTTGTTAACTTTTTGTTATTAGTTATTGATATAACACTTCTAAAAAGTAGTTATATTTAATATAAATTTTTATTTATGTGGTAATATAATTATAAATTAATACAAAATCGCCGCCTTACATCACGTTTTGAAAAACGGCATGGCTCGCAATGGCTCGTTAAGCTTGAGGCTTGGCCTTTTGCCGCCACACCACGCCTCACGCCATTTAGAACATTGGCTGTTACGATAACTAATTAATCATTAAAATACTATGATTTTGTTTTGTTTATTGCTATAAAGTTTGTCATCGTTTTTAAAAAAAATAGTTTATGTATTTTGAACCGTTACACGTTAGGGCTAAGGCCTAAGGGCCTTTTTTTTTTCAGACTCATCTGGACATTTGAATCCTCGGATGAGCCGTGATTGTGGAAATTTAGTTGTTGGACAAGCCTAATTTAGAACCTACAGGGTTTAAAGTTATCATAAATTTTTGGCATATTTTCATGATGTCATTGCTATTAATCTTTAGATAGCCTTTTTTATGTATGCCGGGCAAAACCCCAAAATGATATTAATAGAAAGATTGGAATTATATGAGAGTTTTTGGGGTTTTGTCGAGTTATCAGGATATACAGTCGACGATGTTAATGCCGGCGAGAATTCGCCTCTTCACCCATCGTTTCTCTTCACTCCTTCCATCATCTTCTTCCTTTTCTCCTCCTCCTCCATTTTCACTCACTTTCAGAACCTCCCTCTCTCACTCTGCTCCACCCCAGTCCCACCATGTCTCCGCCACTAAAACCCCCAAAATCTCCATCTCCGACTCCGCTAAATTCGTCCGAACTGTCCTGTTTATCCCACCGGGAACAGACCCGGAAGAAGTCACCGAAGACATGATCTTACCCGGCTCCAACATCGTTCTAGGCCCTTACGCCGGCGAAGCCAAAGTCAAAGAGGTTCAATTCATCGGAAGCAGCATTCGCCCCAAAGATTGCCCTAAAGATGAGCGACCCGAATTTGCAATGTTGGGTCGTTCCAATGTCGGGAAGTCTTCCTTAATCAACTCCTTAGTTCGCAAGAAAGAAGTCGCTCTCACCTCAAAAAAACCAGGTATTGAATGTTGATATCTCTCTGATTTCATTAGGGTTTATACGAATCTTCACATAACTGATTAAACAAAATTGGGATCCGATTGTGTAGGGAAAACTCAACTCATCAATCATTTCTTGGTGAATCGAAGTTGGTACCTCGTTGATTTGCCTGGTTATGGGTAAGCTCAACTTCACCATCGTAGTAAAACTCTTACAAGGTGATTATCGATTCATTATTCTTTCTTCTGTAGATTTGCTAATGCCCCAGAATCTGCAAGAATGGATTGGTCTGCATTCACAAAAGGTTACTTTCTAAATCGAGAATCATTAGTAAGCATTCTGCTTCTTGTTGATGCAAGTGTCCCACCTCAGAAGATTGATCTTGATTGCGCTAATTGGATTGGACGAAACAACGTATGATTCCTTATAAAACATATTCATATCATATAATACGCCACTTTTCTTTATGTTATTGGCATTAGATTGATCATTGATCTTTCCGTTTTGAATGTTGGCTATATATTTCAGTTACCAATGACAATTGTTTTCACAAAATGCGATAAAATGAAGAACAAGAAGGGAAATCGGCCTGATGAGAATATTAAAAGTTTTTCAAGAACTGATTAAAGAAAGTTACAAGATTCATCCTCCATGGATAATGACTAGCAGTGTTACTGGTTTGGGTAGGGATGAGCTTCTTTTGCACATGTCACAGCTTCGGAACTATTGGGATAACTAGGGTTCTCAAGAAAGAAGATAATGAATGCAACACAATACTTCAAATTTTATGTCTTTTTTGGGTGGCATGAAATAGGTTTTGTAATGTTTAGGATAATATTACAGAACAGATTATACATATTTTGAACACCTTGTGCTTATTTGGAGAGTAATAGGGGGTGTGAATGTAGATTAGAAGAGTTTCATGGACTCAATTGAAACACTTAAAATGTGTGGTGTTCTTTGAGGTGAAGGATATGTATGTGATGACATATTCAGGTGAATACTTAAAAAATTACTAGTTCTGTTTTGTTCCTTGATTGCAACTATATCTTAAGCTTTACTATTGGATGTTCTACTTTTAATTTATGGTAGAACGCTTTAGGAGAAACTGTAGGAGTGTGAAAAAACAAGACATTATCATATCATCAATAAAAAGAATTATTGTTTTAGCCTTTTAGTTGATCATTTACCCACATATCACATGGATGTTAAAACAACCTTCACGAATCGTTAAAAATCTACATGAAACAACCTGTTCGGTTTGTATTTCACAGTAAGGGTGAACATTTGGACATCTGGAGCGAACCAGGAACCAGATATGGACAGATGAGTCTGTCTAGTCCAAGTTCCACCAATTGCTATCAAAGCGGTCCAGTCCGGTTCAAATGCTCACCCCTACTCGGCTGTAATAGATAAACTAACTTTCGTTAAGGCTTCAACAAGTTGTATTATATTCACCTAAAGTTGTAACGGTCCAACTGGTACAAGAAATAAAAAACCTGGACCTAGTAAGCCTCAAGCCTCAACAGGTCCGGTCCAAAGTCCACCAACTTCTGTCAAACCGGTCCGGTCCAAGAGCTGATCCGGTCCGGTACAAATGTCCACCCCTATTTCATAGTCATGATAATAAAGTTAGCAAAAAAAATTAAAAAAAACATCATATTGATCAAAATAAGCTTCAAATTAATAGCATGAGTATTTCATAAAGTAATGATTTCTAACTTCATGATCTTAAGATCTTATGATTTTAAAGATTTTACAAGCAAAAAACGATCATCTATCATAGTAGGATCTATTTGAAGTAAAATATATATATTGGGATCATAGGATCCCGATAAGGATCTTAAGATCTTATTATGATCCGAGCAGGTCAAACATCATGTCATTTATGTTATTCCATTTATGATCTCATTCCTTTAATTTTATATAAGCACAACGATCTTGTTTTATTTTTTGCTTAAGATGTTTTCTTCTTAATTTTTGGGGGTTTTCGACGGCAAAAATGTGATTCGTGTTTAAGAAATTAAAATTGATTCTACTGTTAATGTCTTAATCAACATAAAGTTATAATGAATAATACTACATAAACAAAAAATTGCGATAAAAAATCATAAGACTAGTTCATTTGATACGATCTTTTGATCCCGATTCGATCTTACGATAGCAGTCTTGTAAAATGTTAAATGATATTAGGTAAAATCTTGATTTTGACAACATTGGAATTACTATAAGGCTATGTGGTATACCTCTAAACGCCATAACACAAAAAATATTGTCACCTCAACTTCACATTAGCATCATTTTCCCACCATTTACCTTATGAAATGTGTACCTCCATAAACCCAAAATAACTTCCACCTCGGCTATTTATTTCTATAAAACAAATAATCTAAATATCTAAAAGTTAATTAACATGAAACATTTCATTCATTTAAAATATTGATCATAAGCATCAAATTAATACCATGAGTATTTCATAAAATAATGATTTCTAGCTCGTGGTTGTTAAGATCCTGATATTGATCTTAAGATCTTATAACTTTAAAGATCTTACAAGCAAAAACGATCATCATCAAAAATAAAAAAACACATTACATAAATTAAAATAAAAACATTACATAAATAAAAATAAAAGATGCTAGATAAATTAAGTCTAACTATATATATATTATATATATATATATATATATATATATATATATTATATATAATATCCTGGATTAACCTTTTACCGCAAGCATTGTGTCAAGGTCATCGCATTCGAGGCCATCGATCGACATTTTCAAAACTTGCATATCGTTTACCACATGTTCCCCAAGTAATTTTTGTTGTTCGCTTCTCAAAACCAACTTCTATTTTTGTAGTGCAATATGTTCATCAAATTGTTCCCGTAAATACTATAAGTTGTTTGATGTGGTTTCCTTTTCTTTATTCTTTAAAGAAGATGCAGCTTGCTTCGCTTTATCCCGACCCATCGGACATTGAAACGGTGTGGGATGGTTGCATGGCGGTGGTTGAGATAGTTTTTGTTGAAATTGTTGATGATGTAATTGTGGATGTTGAAAAGATGATCGTTGAGACGGTGATTGTTGGAAAGAAGGGTGTGGATATGGGTTTTGTTTAAAAAATTGTTGAATGGTGGTAGTGAAGAGCCTTGGAGTAAGTTTGTGAATGTACAATTGAGAGAATTCATAAAATATTGATCGTATTACGAAAACCTCATAGGTAAAGTGTTTAGACGGAAAGGGTTTTCGTGTGTTGGTGTTTTTGGGTTTTGGTTGGATGGTCATGTATTTGGGGGTTGCTCCATATTTTTTTTTAGAATTCTTATAAAAATATTGAGAAAGAGAAGTGTTTGTTTGAAGTTGTTGTGCATAAAATGTGAAATTAGGTTGGTATTTATATAAGCGAATTTGTAAAATAAATAAATAAAAAACAAAAACCAACAATCAAATTCTTCCTGTTATAACATGTTAACTCGGTAACATGCATTAACACTATACATACTTAACGAAGGAGGGGCAGTGTTTGTCCGTTAACAATGCGGCCACCTCAGCATAATGCACGTTGCACGGTGTGTTAGACGATTTAATTAGTGAGAATGTGTGATAATGACAATAGTTATGTAAGATTGAACGTATTCATATTATTAAACAACATATTTTCTTTGTCATTCTCACAGAATAGCATTGCCCACACGTCCACACAATAGATGTTCATCCACATTTGAACATATCTCTCTCTCACGTTATATATATATATATATATATATATATATATATATATATATATTATATCTATATATATATATATATATATATATATTCTAAATTTACACAAGATTATGGTGTCGAGTATATTTCGATTGTATCTCAAGTGTTTTGGAGCTAATGTGGTCCGCAGACTGCAGACATTTTGCCTCAGAAAAAACAAAGAGCACCATAGTCATGGTTATGTGTTGAATCAGTTTTATTACATTTACAAGATAATAAACAAGTTTCGACACTTGAATACTAAAGAACCAAATACTCTTTAGGACTCTGTCTTATAACACTAATCAAAATAGTATAACTATTGCTCAAATAAAATATGTAATAACAATTGATACAAATACACAAATATAATAGAAAATAAAAAATAGTACTTTTTATGTTTTTACATAATTCGTATTCTAATTGTTTAGACGTGTTTGTAAACCAAACCAAAAACGAGAAAGAATTTCATTCCATTTCATGTTGACCAAACATATAACCGATTTTAATTCCTATAAAATTGGTTTCATGTCAATCAAGCATATAACTGATTTTAATTCCTATAAAATCTAATTCATTCGGATTTGGATTTAGAATCCATTCCTTTCAAAAGTATTCTTCAAACAAAATATTAGGAACTATTTTCACTACCATAAGTGCATAACAAACGTTCAAAAGTATTATTCAAACCAAATATTAGGAACTAATTCCACTATCATAAGTGCATATTAAACTTTTAAAAGTATTCTTCAAACCAAATATTAGGAACCACTTTTCATAAGTGCATAACAAAGCTTGTTATTGTTAATAAAGCCCAAAGTAGGAAATATGGTGTTTGTGATATAACAAAGTCCCAACTACAAATGGATTGGATACATCATATATGTAATAACATCACATATTCATGGATTGGATACATCATATATGTAATAACATCACATATTCATGGATTGGATATATCATATATGTAACAACATCACATACTCATCATCATGATGAATGTTTTTATAAAAACCTCCACATCTTCCTAAACTATACAACAATATCACAACCACACATACTTATTCCCCATCAACACCCTTCCATATCCCTCCACCTCAAATACACCAACCCCGCCCTATAATGCGTATAAGCTCCTGCCACCACCAAAACATGAAACAAATTATGACTATTCCCAACAATATCAAATTTCCCGGGCATCCATCTTTCGGGTATCCTCGTTGCATAAAGCAAACTCCCAATCCCATAAAAAGTCCCCATCAATATCTCATATCCAGTCGTATACACCGCTTCCGGTTGATTCCAAAACCAAACAAGTTTATGAAAAATGGGGCCCGCACCCGACAACCCCATTCCAAGAAAAAGACACGTACGGATGTTTCGATACTCGGGTCGATCAAATACGGGTAGGAGGGATACCATGATTGTTGCGATTCCTAAAAGGGTTATGAACCCTAGATAGAGATTGCAGAAGAAAGGGTG